TCACTAAAATAGCCTCTTAAAATTCCTAATCCAACCCCGACCCGGCTTCCCCTCCCCAAAAATCCCAACTTTTTGTCCCCGTTTTGATTATAATATCCCTGTTTTCTTTCTTTGTCTTCTCCTTCCATCATCCCTATGTTCTACAGTCACTGTCAGAGAGAAAGACATGGAGCAGCAGGCAAAAGAAGAGCTTGAAATGCTGGAATCCCTCTACCCCAATCGGTTCCAGTATTGAAGCTCGAACTCAAGTCCTTCATTTCTCAACATCATCATCATACCCCCGAACCTTCCTCCTTCCTCTCATCCATCGCTGATACTCAAGGTTTCTCTGCTGCTCCTCTGCTTCACTTTCGTTTTCCCCTTGTTTTTTCTACAGTTGAATATGAGGTGTTTTGTTTGAAGCAGAATCGAGCAGCTTGAATCAGAGGAAGAGAAAGAACAAGAGCACTGCTGGTGAAGATTCCGAGTATTGTGATCAGCAGGAAGAGTGTTACGGGTCGGTGAAGAAGATGAAGAAGAAAAAAGATAGGGTGGATTTGGTTCTGGAGAGAGCAGAGGCTTGTCTCAGGAAAATACGACAGTTCAAGGCATCCTTGCTATCGGACTTGTGAAACTTTAAAGTATAGTGTTTTTTGTTTGTGGAGTGTGTAATCTGCTGATGGGTTTAGTGAATCCTGTTCTAGTTGGGGCTCTTTATCTTCGTTTGGAAATCACACGGCTGATACAAGTTTTTGGCTTCCTCAGGGACTCTGTTAGTCTCGAAAAGGTTATTGTAACGCAACGGTTAGTATCTTTGAATCCTTTTGTGTCATTATTTGTGTTTTCCTTCTCGGCCTCTTGTTTTTATTTCTGTAAAGGCATCACAGGAACATTCATTTATAATAGTAACAACGAATATTGCTCTGTAAGTAATAGTGTCTCAGATTTGGATAACTGGGTGGGACAGTGACGTATTTCAATCTTATTAACTACTACCACTTTGTGACAACGAAATTTTGACATGAGCTTGAGTTCATCTGTTATTTTCCGACCAAAGGCAATTACTTATACAAAGTAACCAGGGTTTTTTTTTTTTTTTTGACCGGAACAAAGTAACCAGGGTTAAACCCTTAAAAAAAAATTGCAAAAAAAGGTCCAAAGTGAAAGTCAGTGGGAGATTGCTGGTGCGGCTGGCACGTTTTCCTATCTCTTTTATAAACATAATCGTTGAGTAGAAATGATGTATTTGATTTTTTTTTTTTACCAAAAAATAGATTGTGCTTTTTTTAAATATAATATCTTTTATTCTGTATTGATGATTGTACATGAGGTTGTATTTCTTTTTCCCCTGAAAGGCGGGTAGCTTTATTTATCTTACAAAACGCGTTAATCTTTAAATAATGATCTTTAGTGCTATTTATTAAACATCCACTTTGTTAAACAATTATATATTCAGCCAGATTAAAAAGCTAGTATTGATTGCTTTTTCTTTTTGTTTTTTCCAATGATCTAATGTGCTGAGCTTTAGTCAAGAGTTTATACTATGATACAATTATTGGTTTGGATACAAAACTCTCCATTCCATTTCGCTGTGCAGAGTTAAAAGTCAATCAACTCCGTTCCATTACAAATTGTTATTTTCATATCTCACTTTCAAATAACAATAGCAGTAAGCCAAATAACAAAAGTAGTAAGTGAAATAATAATTTTGTGATCAGGTTTATCATGAAATTAAGCTTTATGAGAAGCTACTTCTATATTTTACTACCCAATAACAAGAGTGATAAGCCAAATGACAAGAGCAATAAGTCAAATAATAAGTTTGATAAACAAAATTATAAGTCTGTGACCAGGTTTTCTGATAAAATTGAGTTTTATAAAAAATTATCATTATTTCTGTATTTTACTACTAAATCACAAGAGAGGTTAGCCAAATGACAAGAGAAGTAAGTCAAGTAAAAGTTTGGTAAGCAAAATTATAAACATGTTATTGGGATTATGATTTCTTAATTCTTTGCTTTTTGTTCGAAGAAGATTATTGTAGAGCCAAAGAAATGCCAAGCTCTCATGAATGTGTAATATTATATGATGAACATGTTATGAAAAGCAATTTATAGAAAGGATTCATAACATTTTTAAACATATTTTTCACTACTTTATGGAAATGAAACATGGAAAAGAAATAGGTTAGAATACAAATTCTTGTAAGTGTTAAAAGGTTAGTATTAGATATTGGGAGAATTACAACCAAGTCTCACAGAAGAGAAATAATTACCAAAACGTCCTAATAATAATTTCAACAGTCTATAATAACAAGTCTTATAATGAGAATGACAACCTCTAAGATTTGTTTTTTAATCATTCTTCTTGCTTGGGACCTCATTATAATTCTCCCTTAGATATTTTAGTTGTACAGAAATATTACATCTTCATTTAAAAATAAACGGTGAAATACAAATAAAACAAAAGAATGAATTATGTTAGTTCTTTATCAACATGATTCACTCATTTATTCTTAAGTATATATGTCGGTGATGTTAGTGATTAGGGAAATTAAGTAAAAATAGTTGTTGTCATAGCCATGAGAATGTTATCACTTCCCATATAAGTGTTGTTATTTTTATTATGGTAAGGAAACATTAAAAAATATTGTTAGTGTTTTCAATTTCAAACTTGTCATTTTATATTCAGAACTTGTTATTCCCAACTTAATTGTGGAAATAATATCATTTTTTTTATTAAAAAACGTTATTGGTATTCTCAATTTGATGCTTGTCATTTTATATTCAAAACTTGTTATTCTGCATATTGAACTTGTTATTTCCAAATCAGTATTTGTTATTACAAGTTTGCAATATAGAATTACAAGTTTGTAATCAGAAATAACATGTAATAAAGAATTATAAGTGTATGATAAGAAATGACAAGTCTGTAATAGAAAACAAGTCTAAAATAGAAAATTATAACTTTAAAATAAAGAATTACAAATCTATAATTAAAAAGAAGAAGTTTGAAACAAAAAATTATAAGTCTAGAATAGAAAGTTACAAGTCTAGAATAAAAAATTACAAGTCTATAATAAAAAATGACAAACCCAGACAACCATCTGACATCAGTGACATCAAAGCTAATTTTGGACATTTCTTGACAAAGGATCAAGCAGAGGCAATCATCTGTTAATTGCATTCATGGATAAAGGAACATATACTTATTATGAATGATAATTGAGGAATCTTCAAATAGGCAACCGGGCAAGAACTTTCAAGAGAGATGATCAACGAGTTCCTAAAATAAATTTGAAAAATGCTCGCTTGTATGGAGTTTAAGAGAAGAAAGGACTTCCTTCAATTATGCTCAATGCGAACTGTATAGCTAATGCGCAGTGGCGTTTTTTTTTTTTTTGGGGGGGGGGGGGGAGGCAATCTCAGAATTAACATAGTACTAAATCGGAATGTTATCCTTATGCTTGAATCTCGTTGAGCTAATTGATTATTTGTTCATCCCTTCTAACTTCAAAGATAAAAAAATGTTGGGAGCCAGACGGGTGCTCTCTTGCTTAGTTGAAAGAGGGATAAAAGAAATCCCACCCACCCACAACCCAGCACAGATACAAATGAAATGCATTGGATGTATTGCCTCAAATGCTTAGTTGAAAGAAGGACGAAGGGAGAGAGAGGAAGAGAAGAAGAAAAGAGAAAGAGAGGATGAGATGGAAGAAGGAGAATAAGAGGGCCTTGGGAGAGGAAGAGAAGAAGAAAAGAAAAAGAGAGGATGAGATGGAAGGAGAATAAGAGGGCATTTTTGTCATTTTCTCAACATTTGATAATTTATATTTAGGACTGGGTCTCTGACAGCAATTTGGTGAGTTGAAGGCAATTTTATATGTTTCAAGGTCTTTTATTGCAATTCTCCCTAAAAAAAATCTCGAGGTAACGATCTTTTTAGAATTTAAAATTGAAATATTCTCATAGAGATTTAGTTATAACCAGAGGAAAAAGGAACCAGAGGAGAAATGCTTTTCAATTGCTAGTATATGCAAATGCTCTATGGATACTACAGAGCTTCCTACTACAATAAGATCCAACAAACTTCACCTGTGCATGTCCATGGGATGAAATTACTCAATATTTCAAAAATTTTCTCCTCCTCAAATTAGTCAATAGGGAGCCTAAATTATGATACGTACACTGAGATGTTTTGTGATTACTTCATCCTTTTCTTTTCTTTTTTAAAATACCAAATAATCACTTCATCTTTAAATTAGTGTTGAGAACAGTGCTAGTGGAATTTGGACACCAAGAACCAATATATTCAGAAAAATTAATAACAGAGGCCATATCCATGCTTATATAAAACAGGGGTCTTAAAATATAGTTTATCTTGAATAATGGTCAAGAATATTGGAAGAACACACCTTAGTTTCCACTAACAGGCTACCCTTCCAATCCTATATAAATTAAGCCATAAGAGAGTCGTGCATTACCAAAAGATTCTCAGGTTCCTCGAGAAGCCTTAGTCCCAAGTGAAGCATTTTCAGAAGCATATGATGATGTCCCACACTACACGATGGCATGTTTTCAGCGTGCTGCAGAATAAACCAAAACTATTTAAACTTTGAACCATATGTTTTAAAATCGCAAGCAACAAAAACCAAAACCTTAAACCTTAATTTTGCTGCTTCTTTTTTTTTTTTAACCATTTAAACCTTAATCCTTAAAACCTATATTTTTCTTTGGTAAAAAAATATTTAAAAAGCTTTTTCCATTTCGTTACAAAGATGAAAAAAATTCTAATAAAGCCAATTTTCAACGCAAACTTTAGTATTTCCAAAGTATCAAAGTAAATCTATCATCACAACTATTTTTCTATAAATTTTATTGGCACAAAATAAGGACTACACAAATGCTTATCAAGCACCAAATACTAAAAAACTAAATAAACTAAAACCCTTTTTTTCATTTTATTACGAAGATGAAAAAAAAATCTAAGAAAGCTATCATTGAAACTAGATAGATATATAATTTTCGAAGCAAACTTTAGTGTTCCCAAAGTATCAAAGTAAATCTATCACACAACTATTTTTCTATAAATTTTATTGGCACAAAATAAGGACTACACAAATGCATCTTAACTATTGCCCCTTAGTGCACTAGCTAGTAGTATTTGACTTGACATGGTTCAGGATCTAAAGTAAAAAGTACAACTCTTAGAGGTCAGAGAAAAAACAAAAAATATATAGAAAATTCTTTATATTGCTAATTTATCTGCGTACAGACATATGCAGATTCCAGTATCATATGAATTTGGAGATTCTAGCCACTGTTATGAATGAGTACCGTGAGGTTTCCCCAAGGTAAAATAGATGTCATGTTCAAGCCCTTGCCTCTTCCTCTGGAGCAATTCTTGAACAAATATGGTAGCTACCACCCCAAGAAAAGTCTTCCGTTTTGATTGCCATGCACTCTTCGGAGAGGAACCGTCTAAGAGCTACCACAATATTGAAAATCAGAGAACATTAAAGAATCAGGAACTGTGGCATCGTATTTTGCCTCTGCAGCAAAAGTTATAATGCTAAGTAGATGGTATATAGAATTTTTGCATCCTTTTAATGTCACAAAAAGATAACTAAAATTACATGTCATCGATTGTCAGCTCAAATTAAGGCAGCAACACAACGAAAAAGTATTAAAAAAACATTTCAACCATTCACGCTGACCATCTACCATAGAAAAGCCTCTCATTAAATAGGATATTTTCCAGATACCCAACATCTCCATAAGTTGCATCTGCTAATGACTTGTCCAGAAAATTTGAGATCAAAGTTTTCATCTTCATTACAATAGCAAGCATCTTCAGAACTCAAATAGTTGAAATATTCAACCTCTTAAAAAGGCAGAGTTATTCATGGAATGAATTACCTTGTACCAGCAGCAGGAACATAAACATCAAAGACCGTCAAGCGACATGGAAAATAGAACCTTGTTATCGTTGCAAGTGTCGTAAAGCTCCTGTCAAGGAGATTATGAGTCATGTCCTTGTCGGCTATACTCTTGTTCATCCTCATTGTCACTGCTTCGATCCTGGTACTTGGAATTAACAGCAGGTAGACCCCGACGTCCCAAAAGAACAAGATCAAGAAGCCTTCTCCTTGCCTCGTACACAGGATTTGGTTCAATCAAACACCCTCTCTCATAAGCTTCCCTCAGAAATACAGTGTGCCGTTTTCCCTTAGTTGACAAATAGAATATCCCCGGGTGATCCAGGAACAAATCCCTTATGTTCAAGTCAATCCCAAACCATTTTCTGAACTGGCTTATCTTCTCTACTTCAATCATCTTCTCCACTGTCAAGCCAAGGAATTCATGAACAACTGACACGGCTCTTTTTTCTAAAGCCATCATTCCAGCCTTGGATTTCTTCTTCTCACCCATCATCTCATATGGCCCCAAATATGGCAAACTCTGCCATTTCTTCACCTTGGCCTTATAACTCTTACTCAGCCTCATCCCTGGAGGATGCGTGTGTTTGAAACTAAACTGCATTTCCGTTCGATCGAGCTTGCAATCTTCTTTACAGCATTCAACAACCCTCCAATTCTCAACTGCTGCTGTAAAATGACTGTTGGGAAGCACATCAACCAGTTTCAATAAATGAGTATTAGGTTCATGAGCATCGCACAGTTGAAAGAGATGAGGATTTTGACAAATAACCGAGTCCTCAAAATCATCAGGAAGCCCAAGTTCCCGCCAAACCTTGAAAATAGCACGAAGAGGTACCATTTTAGATGCAGACATGGACAGTATCCGGACTAGTCTATCAATAACAACAGGTATCGAATCATTGATGGCTACTGCTTCCTGATGGAAAATATCGAGAGCAGCATCAGTTAATTTACAAAATGGCTGGGACTTACTTGGTTCATAGAAAATATGGAAAATATGAGGGTACTTGCGCAGAAAAGCGGTGGCACCACGGTTGAGATGGAGCTTCTGGGAGAGTCTGGAGAGAAATTCAACTGAGACTGACTGCTTCTTCGGGTTTGCAAGGATAAGATCCTGAATTGCAATGACTTTGAGAAGGTTTTTGTACTTGTCCATCAGCTTCTCAAACGTGGGGTCTCTAGCCCTAGAAGCTACATACTGGGAAGATGTCGTTTTTGACCGAACACATATAAAATGACTGACCGGATTTTTTCTTAGAAATTTCACCAGGTAGGTCACCATTTCACTGCACAATCAGATACCCTTTCCTCGCTCTCTCTCTCTCTCTCTCTCTCTCTCGGCGCGCTAGCCCCCTATCTCAGTTCGGCATTTTTTTTAACACAGTAAGCCCCGTACCAGTGAAACACAAGTTTCAGAATCTATAATGGAAATTTTGCCCAAAAACAGAATCTTTACCAGAAAAGCGAGTCAAGAACCACACTAACAATTTTGCCCGTATAGGTAAAAGAGGGTTCAGACTTTCACCACCTCTCCTCTCTCCCTTTAATCTTCACTTTCTTTCTCTTCTATCTGTGCTTCTTCTGCTCTCTCAACTAGCTTCGGTGAGTGGATGCGAAATCAGGGAATAAATGGGGGACAGAATTTGAAGAACCACACTAACAAAGTTGAGGCGCTCCGAGATTATCGTAGGTCCGTCGGTGCTGATAGCACAATTCCGAGTGCAGATGCTCCTACTGTTTAGCCTCTCTCCCCCCGGTGTCTGAATCGCGGCTGGCTGAAGATGTGGAAGGGGGCTTGGCCCATGCAAAACGCCGCACTCCACTTTTGTTTGGAAAACATTTAGGGCCTGTTTGGTTTGAGGGGAGGGAAAGGAAGGGAGGAGAGGTTTCATCCTCATCTTGTTTGGTTTGATTAAAAAGGAGAGGAGGGAAGGGTATTTAATGATCCCTTGTTTGGTTCAAGGAGGGGAAGAGAGGGATAGTAATAATCAATTTATCATTTTACCCTTATATATTAGTTTATGTTTTTTATCGATATATTATATAAATTAATTTACATCTTAATTTAAATTATATAATTTAATCAAAATTCAGTCTTATCATGTTAATATGTGTATTAAAAAATTGGTATAGTAATTTTTCATTCTAATTAATATAATAATATATTTAAAATAATCAAATTAACAAATTTTATATGCTCTAAGAAAAATGAAATTTTATTTTCTTTAGGCTATCTTTTTTTCCAGTTTTAAAATATATTTATAAATAATATATTTATAAAAAACAATTAATTTTATAATATTATAATTTTTTATTTAAATAATTTTTATTTTTAAATAATTTTTATAATATATTTTTAATTATAATAATGTATATATTTTTTATTTTTTTTACTTAGGATAATATATTTTTTATTTGAAATAAATATTATAATAATATATTTTATAGGTAGAAATGAAATATTAAAAAAAATCATAAGGGCATAATGGTCCAAAATTTTGGCTCCCCTCTAAAAACCTCCAATTTGGAGGGGAGCCAAAATGGGGGGAGGGAGGGGAGGGGAGGGGACATTTTAGCTCCCCTCCCCTCCAAAATTTTTAACCAAATGAGGGGAGGGGCTCATGTCCCCTCCCTTTCCCTCCCCTCCAACCAAACACACCCTTAGACCAAATTTTTTATATTTATTTTACCAAGCATATGGCCACGTCATTTTTTATGTGAGTTTATCAAAGCAGGACAGGTGGATATATGCTATATGAGAACTTAACATGATAGATATGAAAACTTGATGTAAGTATTGCCATATTTATAATTATTATCGTGTATATTGCGATTATAATTGTAAAATATAATTTTAAATATATAAAGATAATTATAAAATTGTGATTTTATGTTTTATTAAAATATTTTAAAAAATAACTTATATGAAATAAATTAGAGTTATCATATCAAAGTACTTTCCCTTCTCGTTAGTTCCTAGTAGGGCTACACATAGACAGGGTTGAGCAAGGCAAGCCCCTTGTCCAATGCTGAGCCCGAAAGATGAGGGGGCCGCAAAACCCGACCCTGCCTAGTAGAAGTCCTAACCATTTTGGACAGGACAAGGGCGGGCTAAGCAAGGCAGGCTTTTCTGCCAAGTTTAATGACACCATGCCTTATATCATATGTAGAAAAAAAAATTCAATTATCGTGTTTTGAGATAAGTGAGAGGAAAAAAATTATCACGAATGAGTCTATCATTCATATATATATATATATGAGGCCTACGTCAATGTTTTAAAAGCCGGACCGGAAGTCGAACCGGAAAGATCAACGGGTCATGGTTCAATCGGTCAGATCGGTCGGACCGTTCGGTCAGACCGGTGACGCAATAATTAATTTAAAAAAATATTATATACATATAATTAGTATATATGAAAAATATCAAATTATTAAATAATTTAGAAATGCATTTAAATAATCTAAAATTATAATAAAATCATTGAAAATGGACTAAAACCTTATATATTTAATTTTATGTATGTTTAAAATATTTAATGTATTACAAATTATCAATTCATTCAAATCAAAATATTTTTTTAAAAGATAGATCAAATATCGAAACAAAAAGACTAGCGACTCACGATTTTAACACCACAATATATGAAATTTTCAATGAAACAATACTATATGGTTATAACTAGTCTAAAAATATATTAGGATATTTAAGGGGATCAATTTTTTTATTTTTCTTCTATTTTTTTTTAAATTTTTAGTATTTTTCAGTCAGGCTAAAAAACCGTCCGGTTTTCTGAAAACCATTCCGGTTCCCGGTCCAACTCCGGTTTCCGGCTTAATAACGGCTCAACTCCGGTCCAATCCGGCTCAACTATGTGAACGGTTTTTTGGTCCAAACCGAGCCGTTAACGAGTCCGGGTGACGGTTCAACCGGTCCGACCGTCCGGTCCGGTCCGGTTCTTTAATCATTGGCCTACGTAGTCTTGTTCTTCAATTTTTGATTTCTTATGAAAGGTGGTTTTATTTTTCTTTTTTTTTTTGTTTTAAAAAATTGGATGTAAGAGAAAAAGAAGAAAATTTGACTTGGAATAATTTAGCATATTGAATCTTATATTTTGATATTTAGCTCTTTTATATAATTATAATTTTTAAGTTCCTTTCATTTTTTCTAATTTTACCTATTTTTTTAGCCAAAATAAAAAAGATAATTACTTACAATAATATTATCTTATATATAGGCAAGGTATGTTGCCCTGTCCATTTGGCCCTGCTCTGCCCGTGAATCAGCCCGGCTCGAAGATGCCTATTTTTGCTTGGGCAGCTTTTTATTGGGTTGGGCTGAGCGCTTTTCTTGCAGGCTTGAGTGGGCTTATTGAGCATGCGAGTCTTATGCACACTTCTAGTTCCCAGTAGGGGTGGAAACAGGCCATGCCTTGCTCTTAACAGGCCAGGCCTGTTTTGAAGCCTATTGGCCTGAGCCTGGCCTGTGGCCTGTTACAGACTTATTTTTCAGCCTGAGCCCGGCTTGTATAAAGGCCTGGCCTGGCTTGAAGCCTGTTAAAAGGCCTGTATTTTTAAAAAATTCAAATTATAATTATTATTTTAAAAAAAAGTTAAGATTAAAAAAAACGTACATAATAATTAAATTTTTAGTTTTGTCTTTTATTTAAATTTTAGTATCATAAGTACTATTTTAAATCTTAATTATAATTTATAAGAATATTATTGAAAACTAATTGTAATTATATGTTAAAATTTGGAATAAGACTATGTTTTTTTTTAATTGAATTAAGACTACATTTAAGTACACACAAAAAAATTAAAATTAAGACAAATAAATAAAGAGGAAAAAAATACTAATTTTATAATGAATAAAGAGGGTATCATACTTAAATTAACATAATACGTAGGTTAGTTAATTTATCATTCTTGGAACAAAATTTTTCTTTCCTATTTTCTTTATATTTTTAAGATTTAAAAATCACATTATTTATTGATATTATTATTTTAAATTATATTTTTATCTTCATTTGTCATCTAAACTTCAAAATCTAAGAAAAGATTAAGCTATTAACTATATATTAAAATTAAAAAATAAATTAAAAGAGTACATTAACAATAATAGCATTAATTAATTTTTAATATATTATAATTATAAATTCTTAACAGGCCCAGGCCCAGGCCGGCCTACCAGGCTTTTTAAAAAGCCTAAGCCTGACCTATTTAACTAAACAGGCCTTCAAACAGGCCTAAGCCTGTCTTTTTTGGGAAACAGGCCAAGTCAGGCCAGGCCAAATACAGGCCAGGCCATAGGCCCCTGACAGGCCGCCTGGCCTGTTTCCACCCCTAGTTCCTAGAACTCCTCCCCTCCCTTTCCTCTTTTCTGATCAATTCAAGCAATGTAAAGCATGCTTGGATGTGAGTCCAAAAAACAGAATTTAGGTTTACTTGATTTATAAAATTGATTTTTAATATAATTGAAAAATAGAATTAAAAATATGGTAAAACCATTTTTTAAAATATTCAAATATTTTTTATACATGCCAAAATTCTAATTTTGAACTTAGAGTTAACTATGATTCTTTTGTAAACTATCAAATACTCCGGTACATGTCAGAGTTAACTATAAACCCAAACTTAGAAGTTATTATTACTTGCTTTTTAATCATACATGCTTAAAAATTAATCCAAACACCCTATTTTACTTAAATAAATTTTGCCAAAATTATGCTTATAAAATCAAGATTATTATAAACTCTACTTTGCCCATTTCTAGTCCAAACGCACTTATGGGAGTTGCTTATATGTTAAATCATGCTTAAGAGTCATATAATTGGTCAACAAAATTTATTTTGAAGGTATCCAAACAGCGAAGCATGCTGTGTTTTTAGAATCCACTGCCGTTTGGGTGATAGACAAACGGCATGTCGTTGCTTGATTAGCGTCGTGCTTCTCTTCCTCGCTTCTTTCAAACAGCCAGCCAGTCTCCGCGGGAGTCATTGCTAAGAATTAACGAAGGAAAAACTTGGAAGCAAAATGGTGTGGGGTCTCTTCCCCGTCGACCCTCTTTCAGGTACATTTCTTTTCCTGTTTCTATGTTCTTGTTGAAATGTTTGGTATGGGGAATAGATAGATGCTGACAGTTACGGTTGCTACGAATTTTACTATTTGCAAGCTCTAATTCAGAGTTGATCTTATTGGTTAAAGAATATAGCAAAGTTTTCGTCTTGATACTGTCCACACAAGTTTGGATGAAACGGAAACTAAACCCTTGAGGGGATTAAATCTTTTATTTTCTTTGCGGTTGACCAATTTATGGCTACAGAGAAGACTTCAAAAATCTTGTGATTAAACACACACTGAGCTTTATGTCTTGGATTTTAAATGTCTGATTTCAGTAAACAGATTTTATTCATGTTCCATTTATTTTTATATTATTTTGTAGTTCTTGTTTTGTTCACAAGTCTTATACCTGGCATTATTTTAACCCGGCATTTTCTTTTTTAATCATACAGAGTCTTTGGTGAGTTGCACTGCTTATGAATATTGCATCTTTCTATCACTTTTATATGATATGATATATTGACAGGTGAAGATAAGTACTACATTTTTAGATGTGGAAGCTACAAAGTTGGGCGAAAAGGTACGGTATTCCTACTAATTCTCTTGCAGTACAGGTATTTATTGGTCTTAATTATGTTACCTTCTTGCAGTGAAAGGTCTACCTTACTGATGATGCATACATGCTGCATAATGTGAAACATAGATACCACAAAAAAGGCAAAATAAAAAGAAAAAAGCTCGTAAACTTGAAAATGAAAGACCTAACAAAACTCCCAAGGGTACAAACTGGACTAGTATGATCCAATGTGTATCACCAAGGTGGCCTAAAATGGCGCTTTCTTTATATATTTTATCTCTTCATTTTATGAAAAAGAATTAAGAACTGTGTTGTTGTATGCTTCTGAAGTTATTTGCAATGGAGAAAAAACTTGGTAGGACTGTTGTTCTACATTGTTGATGGGAGCTTATTCTTTCCAGAATTACATTCAGGTCTTTCACTAAGTTGAACTCATACTTCATGCTCCACATCTGTGCCATTCAGGTGACAGTGAGTCATTTAGGTCAATTAGTCATGCCTGCTTTCTGAATTCAGGATACCTTGTCAAGATCCTATTATGGTACTATGTGATAATTTGGCTGCTACGTGAGCATTGCAAAAAAACTTAATTCATTATGTTAGAACAAAGCATGTTGAAATTTATTGCCATTTTATGGAGGAGAAGGGAGAGTCTGGAGTTCTTGATCTTATGTTAAGTTGCCATTTTAGAATGTCTGGTTATCACATTTGGCTGCTTTCTGTGTTCCTGTGTCTAAAAATTTTTATTGAATAATCATAAATTCATTACAATTTTTCTGGACTTCATGGATCATATACTGATAACTTGTTAGTTGCCACTTACAGATTGTGATGTGATCATCACCAAAGATAAAGGGGTTTCACGGGTTCACGCTGAAATTATCGTTCAGGCAATGACTAATGAGCCCTCTTACTTATCATCCAGAGTACTAATTAGAGATTGCTCTAAGTATGGAACATTTATTAGCAAGAATGCGGGGCCCAAGAGAAAAGTTCATGAGCTTCCAAATAAAGAAGCAACACTAGAGGATTGTGATCTTATATCTTTTGGAACTGGTAGTGCAACCTACAGGTATGTGAATGCACTTCCGACTATGGTTGTCCTTTATTACTTGTGCTCCCTTTTTCTCCCCGATCTTATGGTTCCAAATGCATTTTATTGATGTGGTTCTTAGCTCATAAAATTCACAGCTGAATTCTGCTTTAACACATTTTACATAAAACTTAACAGGTTTTCCCATGTCCCGCTAGTTTTCTTCATCTGTTCGTTGGATAAAGCAGATCAATCTCTAGAAGAGAGACTTTCATCATTTGGTCAGTGAGGAAAACCTTTTAGAGGCTGTTCAGTTCTTCTTATTGTTCTGTTTGTATGCATTCTTTGAAAACTGATTTAGCACCTGAAGTTCCTAGTTCCTTACAGATTGAAATATCATAATCCAACTTGTTAGTCCTGTAAGCATTGATTCATGTTGATTCTACCCATTATTTATGTTTTGTTGGTCTCTACCAATGCGACTAATTACTGATATTGGAAGAAACTTATAAATATGCTGTAAAGAAAATAGAGTTTGCATTATAGCTAGAAAAAAAAAAAAAAAAAAACAGAGAAAATAGAGTTTGTGCACGTCTTTGATAATGATAACTTCTAAAATATGGCATTTTCATATGACACCCATGTCCACTCTGCTTGTCTTCTAAATGTAGAGCTTGTGGCACCTTGGTGTAAAAATTTTGCTATCAAAATAGTCAATTGTGAAAAGGCAGTTTATGAATAGCTGCTATTTAAATTTTCCTTCTGCTTTCTGTTTCCATTTTTAGTAGAAGCTCCAAATAGCTACTTCTCTTCCTGATAGGATCGACCTATTTAAAAATACCTATAAGAGGTGACAGAGGCAGAAGCAAGCAAAAGGCAATAGTCCTTTCTAAGCAACCAGGGAGTTGACTTCTATTTCCTACCTTTTTGGAGAAAGTAGCACACTCTAATGTCTTTTAGGTCCGTGTACTAGGTTATTGTATTTTGGGAGACTGTGCTGTTTACTTTTAAGTATTTTAGCCGTTGTAGCTTGAGGGAGGCAAGGAGTTTTTTGCATGAGAGTATGGTGAGGAGAGAGCTGACCTCTCGAATGTCAGGATCATTGTATGAGCTGTGAGCGTGTGAACCATTTTGTAATCTCCTATCTCCCACTGAGTAGGAGGATTGCCATTCATTAATCTTATTCGAGTATTATTTCACTGTCAGGAGCCCGTTCACTGTTTCATTATCTGCTTATTATTGTTCCTACTCTCGGTTCCTATCACTTCCATAATATAAAAAGTAGGTTCTAAATCCATGTATTTTGGTTGATGGCAAACAAGCATCAGAGTTATTATGGAAGATTTTTTTCCCAGAAAAAAGAATTATTTTGAATCGAACAGCCAAATAGACACTTGTTGATCGAGCAGAAATGCAGAATGGTCTTTAAGGTTCTTAATTTTTTCGGTCATAAGTTTTAAAATATATTAAACAGATTTAAAATGGGAACATATCTTTGGTGCAGCATCAGCCTCGGGTCTTTAGAATATCTTAACCTTTTTAAATACTGTGATCTTTCATTAAAGTGAACACTGGCCAACTTTTATGTTCATAATAGGTGGTCGCATTACAAATGCAATAGGACAAGAGTGCACTCATGTGCTGGTGGATCAGAACATGCCTTTGAAAGATGATCTTGTTGACGCTGTTGTGGCCAGGAAACCTTTGCTTCTCAAAACTTGGGTTGAGGTATTGAAGCATTTAAATATGCTACATTATTTGACATTTGTCTTGGGTATTCATTGTGCTGCACACTCTTTACTGTCAAGTGATCAGTTGTCTTTATGCAGATACTTGTTAAATTTATTAGGTTGAGGACGTAATAGTCTGTTGCTTACATGTTGTTACTGGCAATTAGTGGTTAAGGTAGGTATAGTCTTGAGTCAAAACTTGTGTGACCTTTGAAGAACTAGCAATTTTCTGCCTGGGAACGGGTTAATCAGGATAAAAATAGTAAATGCATATAAATAATAGTTGATAATGAAGGCTTACTACAGTGTCTTTCACTTCTGTTGTGAGGCATTTACCAGGCTTTGGCCTTGAGGTATATGCCAAAAAGAGGGGAAATGAGCATACCTATTTTATGTAATATACAGTCTACAAATGTGAGGTTTAATTTGATGATTTATGTCCAGAACAAATGGGAAATTCATAATTCATATGATTCAGGTTGTGGCATGACTATCTGTTCCATGTGTAGGTTGTTGCAGAAAAGAACATCAGCACTGAAATTCCTAGCTGTAATTCGTAAGTGTTAATTTTTTGTGGCTTTTGGCTAAATTAGCTATATATTCCATGACATTAGCAGCAATTAAGCTTACAAATGATTTTTTTTTTCCCCTCTTCCCCCTTTCTGCCTCCTTAAGCAGCTACATTCCAACAGTGTCAGTGGAAGGAGCATCTGTCAGAGTTGTTGACCCTAAAGCTCGTGAACACTGCTTAAAGGGATATACATTTTTGTTGGAATCAGTTCATTTGGTATTATTATTATTATTTTTTTAATCTTCTGTAATATTTGAATTGCTATATTGAATATATTGTATTTTAATCTGAGAAAACCTAGAAATGTATACTGAATATATTTTCTCCTTTTCCTCCCTGCTTACAGTATAAATTTGGAGCCAAGTTAAAATCTTTACTGGAAGTGGCTGGTGCAAAAATTGCTTCTTTTGAAGAATTCTGTACGGATAGCCAAGTAAGAATGTCATTGCACTCCATAATTAGCGAACTTTCTTTGTATTGAGGTAAATATTTCATTTGGAAAAGTGACACAAAATGGTTAGTGGCTGACCCGTATTATGTTTTTTTATTTTTATTTGCAACACCATTTTATGTTTGCATAACTTAAATTGTTTATGTTCATACTATTCCTTGTGGAGTGAGGTATGCTGTAGAAATAAACCTTTCTGGAGATGCCTCTGTTTTTAACATATTCAGGGATCAACTTTTAAGCATCATTCAGGTGATGTATGATCATCTGTGTGATATGCATAATCTAGACTCTCATTCCTCCGTCTAATTTAAGTGTCATCCTACGATTTCTATTTTAATGCTAATCTCTGTTTTTTTCATGGGCAAAAAAAAAACTTCTTGTGGAAATTGCTACTATTGGTAGTTCGTATGAAAGCAAACTCCATTATGAATTACTTCTGTAATTCATTGTTTTTAAGTTCCTCTACTTTCATCTGTTCTATGATAGTATCTGGGAAATTGCTTGGTTCTTCCTGTTTTGTTTTTTTTGTTTTTTAATACCTTCCCTGTACATTATTACTACTAATCCTCATTTAATTTCTGAAGGGATTAGATTATGGGGAAGATAATCGTGTAGTTTGCATCATCCCAGGAGGACCAGCAAGCAAGTCTGACCGCTTCAATAAACAAAGTTCCTTATCTAGAGTGAATGAGATGGACATAACATGTGCTGCTTTAAGTGGACAGTTAGATCAGTCTATATTGATCTCACCCTGTGGTAAATATTGTTACCGTCTCAAGTAATATTTGTTCGTTTTTTTCTTCTTTCCTTGTGATAAATGACCTGAATCCTAGCTTATTTATTGGTAATTCGGTTGACTGCTTAGAATACTTGCTTGCAAATTATCGATAAACCCCATCGACCTAAATTCTTGTACTTGAGTCGAAGTTGGATAGGATCTAATCCATTATTTTCTGATTCATTTAAATGCCCATATTTATATTTTGAAGAAGACAATGGCTAGTAGGGATAGGCAGGACAGATTTTGAGATTCATTTAATTTGGGTGATCCTCCTTTGGCATTGGTAGTTGTTTAAGATTCTTGCTCATATTCTAATAAAAAATTTCCTTCATTTTTATTAATTTTTGAGATTAGACCCTGATTTCATATTTTATAAAGCCTTTCCTTGTATCTCTATCTACTTTGGATCCCATCACATTACTGCAACGATAACAGTTATCCCACTTTGCCAACTCTTCGTGAAATGGTATTCCATTATTGTCGAAACTTTTTGAATTTGAATGGACAAAGTGTATTCTATATCAAGTGACACGTATTGGCTTAATGAAATGGGCAAGCGTGGCATATCCTCCATTTGCAATGAATAGTAAATAGTGCTTACAAATGGCAATTGGAAATATTGACATGGTTTAGGGAATACATTACTTTAATCAACAGCGCGGTGATGTCTAGAAGAAGTAGGAAAGAGGGAGAAAGAGGGAAAGAGAAAGAAACAGAGGGAAATTGAGATAGATAGATAGATAGACAGACAGACAGACAGACAGACAGACAAGAGGGAGGGAGAGTAACTCAATTCATTATCATTCCTGTTTACAGTTAGTCCTAAGCCACTTATTTGTAGCCCTTAGCTACTTAGGGTAATCTCCCCTCCTTACCCCCTACTAACTCCTAGCTAACTTCTCTCATTCATTATATTTACATATCACACAGTTGGGTTCTGAGCATACGGTTGAATAGAAAACGTGTTATTTCTTTGATAATATTTATTTCCTCTCCTTATCAATGAAAATTATCGTGGAAGGTAAAAAAATGCACCGAGGTACTGAACAAGCTGAACCTGTATTGTGCAGTACTTGTTTCATCTTCATGCTCTACGGATGAGACAATAGTAGCAGATTCCGATACTGAAGATGAAACTGCCACATTATCCCGTGCGAGGGAGACACTGTGCAAAGGAGATGATATAAAATATGAAAAAGCTGACATATCATTGGATGTTGCTCCTGCCAGATTTACTAATATGAAATCTGACAGAAGGGAGACATCCTTGGATGGTGTTTCTGCCAGATTGGCAGAAAAAGGTGACGGAAAACATGAAAATAGAGAATCAGCTTTGCATGACGCTTCTTCCAGGTTGGATCCGCAATCTGCCAGCTTCAGGGAAGGTGGTGTTGGTGTAAGAGTGAAGAAAGACGAGGTTGATGATTATGAAAGTAGAAGTTCAGATATTATTTACAGCCAAGATTTAATTGTCCGGGATATAGATTCATCTTCTGGCACAAATGCTGCATCAAACAGCAGTCTTCCAAATTTTAAACGTTTTAGAAAGGTTTGGTTTTGAAATCCTTATTCTATGCTTATAAGGAGCTTATCCAGTTTTATGATTACATACCTTTGGACACATCCTAACTTGTCTGGTTTTATTTGTCATGGAATTGCAGGTACATTCAGGATCAGGGAATAGTTTCACCAATCTTGTTCCATTCGCAAAGTATCCATACAAGTAAGAACAAATATGAAACTGCTGTTTGTGTGACTGTATGCGTGTTATATTAAGCATGATTTGATCTTGACATCACATTTCATTCTCTGATATATGTGTTTGTCACTTTCTCTTATCTTCAGGGACTCTGACTATGAAAATGATGAGATTAACAAGTCTATAAAGGAAGAGAAAAAGAGAAAGAAAATGGAAGCTATTGCGGAAGACTTGTTTAATAATGAGAAGGCGAGAAAGCGAGGCGCAGCTGGTTCTCTTCGAAGCATTCTTATTTCATGAAGGCAGCCATATTTAATTCGTCTGAATTATGATATGCTTTTGTGTTTATCTAATAATGTATTGATCAGAAAGTATATTTTCATTCTGTAGTAACAAATTCTAAAGTAATGTGTTATATATTTGGGTAATTAATTAATTCGAAGAATCGTGGATTGTTTCTAATTGAAGTTTTATTTATCAAGGATCATGCAGTTGAGTTGAATTACACAGACACTGAAAAGAGTCCGGATTTCAATCCCCATCTATCTTTGAGGAAAAAACAACATAAACACAAAAATTCAAAGAAAACAAAAATCTCATGTAGCATTAACACCTTGGTTCGTGTCCATTTTATCATGGGTTGGTTGAGCTTAAAGACTTTAATTGCATTATAGGGCAAGTAAATTCTAAATAGACTAGAGCCCTTTTTCCTATTATAATTATAAGTTTTAAAATAAAATAATACTATCTTTTTTTTTTTTTTGGTAAAATAATACTATCTTTGATCAACTAAATTTTATATTAAAAACTTGAGGTGGTAGCTAATAAGATCATAGGTTTAAATTAAGCATCTTGTTAGTATGTAATATGTTAGTATCAAAAGTATGCTCTGGTTTTTTTTTTTTTTACCAGAAAAAGTATGCTCTGGTTATGGCAGGCTGTTTTCAACTCCCTCGAATTTTTTTAATAAAAAAAAAATCAAACCAAAGCAAATTAAGTGGTGCCACATTAACTTTGTAGATTAATTATCGCTATCTTGGCAATTGCTTATTTTAAAAATTATCTCACGCTTTCTCAGTTTGTTTAAATTATTAGTGGAAACAAGATAATAATATTCTGTCACACCAACAACGTACACTTTGACAAAGAACAGAAAAATACCACCACATCTAAGAGGTGTTTGGATAAAACAAAAGCATAATTTAGAGAATAGCTTTTAAAAAAAATTATTTTGAGAATGGATTTTGAAAAAAATAGTTTTTATGAAAAAAGTTATTTTAATAAAGTAATAATGTTTAGATAATTGTTATTGGAAATACTTTTTCCATGTACAGATTACTAAACATAAATTAATATAAAATTACATAAAAGATATATTTTAATTTATATTTTTGTCTGAAATAATAAATTTGCAAGTAATATATTCCTTTGCCAACATAATAAATCATATATGAAAAATATAATTAACTAATAGTTAATACGTGTATATATTTATAAAATATAAGATTAAATATGTTTCTAGAAAAATGATTATCTTACCTTAAAGGTTTTAAATATGAAATCTCAAAATATTTTTTAAAAAATTAAATAAACATTCGTAAGAGCAATTTATTGGTTATATAATTAATGAATAATTAGTGCGTATATAAAATATAAAATTAAATATTTTAGTAGAAAATTGGTAATTTCATATCAAAATTATAAAACACTGAGTATCATAAATAATTGAGAGAATTGTAATTAGGTCACATCTAAGGAAATTAAATACAAAAAGGTTCTTTGAAATCATGAAATTATTCTGAAGTCCCAAGAGACCTTTTTGTAATAAATTTTATTTGTTTAATTACCAAATTACCCTTCTTTTTTTTAAGTTTGTATTGACAACTGAAAGAGCAATGGTTGATAACTTAGGATGCAAGGATTGATAATTATCATGGTTGGTTTGACAACTTAGGATGTGATATGCTGAGAAAATATATTGTCAAATCAGCCGCGATAGTTATTAATCATTACACTCTAAGTTGTCAACTATTGCTCTTTTAGTTGTCAACTATTACTCTTTTAGTTGTCAATACAAACTTAAAAAAAAAAAAGGTAATTTGGTAATTAAACAAATAAAATTTATTACAAAAAAGTTCATTGGGACTTCAGAATAATTTCATAATTTTAAAGAACTTTTTTGTATTTAATTCCCTTAAGTGGGATCTAATTGTAATTTTTTCTAAATAATTTCATTGAGCCTTCCCTCCCTTTTTTTTCATGGGCGTCAGAATTTTGTTATAAAAAAGGAAAGTATGACCCCATATGTACGGACCACATTTTCTCTCTCTATTTTGTCCCAACAGCAATTAGAAAGCAAAAGTTTTTCACTTCTTCTAAAATCTTGATTTTTCAAGTTGAAACAATAGTTTGAGCTAAATTATAGTTTTTTTAAGGTGTGTTTGGGTGTCTCCCCAAATCATAGTTTGGGAAAAAAATGATCCAAATACCTATAAGAAATCAAAACCATGATTTTGGATCAAAACCATAATTTTGACCCAAAAACCATAGTTTTGAAAAAAGCATTTTGAAGCTGTTTTTTAAAAAAATTAGAGAGTGTCATACGGATATGAGGATCATTTTTTTTACCAAACACATATACCCCTCAAGCTTGAATCTTCTGCCTTCGGTCCTTCATTGTTCAGAGAGGTGGCATGTTGTTGTTGTTGTTTTTTTTTTTTTAAACCAGAAAGAGGTAGTACGTTGTTACATTGTACTTTTTTTTATTTATTTCTTTTCTGTTTACAAAAAATTATTTATCTTTTTGAAAAATATTTTAATCTTATATTTTATAAATATTTTTACACATGTAGTAATAATTAATTAATTATATTAAAGATGAGAGGTAGTATGTTATTATAAAAAATAATTGTGAAAAAATGTTATAGAATTTCATGTTTAAAATCTTTAAAGCAAATTAATATTTTTCTATTAGAAAAAAAATAATCATTTTTCTATAAACATATTTAATCTTATAATTTATAAATATATATACATATTAATTATTTATTAATTATATTATCTTATATATTACTAATTATGTTGGTAAAAATTATTTTATTAACAATTTTATTCCTTCAAATCAAAATATATTATAAAATCTATCCATTATATAATTATCATATTAACTTATATTTTTTTAAGTAATTTGCACATGTAAAAAGTGCTTCTGATAACAATTATTTGAACACTCTCACTTCTTAGAATCACTTCTTCATAAAATCTAATTCTCTCTAGAAGCTAATCTTCAAACCATAGTTTGGTGTCATCCAAACACCTCCTAAAATAGGTGGTATTTGGATGGTTTCCAAGCCAAACCATAGTTTGAGGCTCAAAAGTGCTTTTTTGAAGTTTGTCAAACATTGGTTTGAGGCTCAAAAGTGCTTTTTTGAAGTTTGTCAAACATTTTTGAAGTTTGAAGTTTAGATAACAAGTCAAACTATGGTTTGAAAATGCAACCATCCAAACATGTCAATTTTTTGTAAAATCACTTTTTGATTAAAAACCATAGTTTGGAAAAATGTAACCAAGCATCATGATTTTTGGTAAATCACTTTTGAATTGAAAATCATGGTTTAGGGTCTAAAACCATGGTTTTTCATAATGTGAAATTTTTTTTGCTTTTGAAGGTATAAAACCATGATTTGTGATATAAAAAATAGATATATATGAGAAATAAAGTAGATTGTGATCTTATATTTAGAATCAAATTGAGTATCTAGGTAGCTCTTATATTAAGGACGAGAGGTAATATTAATTAATTATATTTTTTTATATACAATTTATTATTTCAAACAAAAATATAAATTAAAATCTATTTGTCTATAATTATTATATTAACTTATATCTTTTTTAGTAATTTATACATAAAAAATGATTATTATAACAACCACTCAAACATTCTCACTTTATCAAAATTACTTTTTTTACAAAATCTATTCTTTTAAAATCTATTCACAAAATCTATTTTTTCAAAAACTATTCTTCAGAAATTATTCTCCAAATCATGATTTAGTTTTGTCCAAACATCTTAATCTAAATGTTTTTTTGATGAAAGACTCAATAGCAAACACAAAAAGTGGAAGCAAAAAAATCAAATATATATATATATTATATACTACAATAATCAATGATCAATAATGACTATGTGTGAGTACTAATCAATGGAATCAATATTATCCATTCACAAGCTAGTTCCAAAAAGCTAGTTACTACAGTAAATCCTAATATAGTTTTTAGTAGTAATAAGACTATCCACCCTTAAGCCAAGCTACACCTCATTTGAACTTTATAAACAAAAAGGCAAAACTGTAGCTTTGATTTCTAGATTTTAGTTTGATGCCTTAATTTTATAAAGTATTTTTTAGTCTTCTAACCTAAATATAAAATATTTTTTAATCTTCTAACCCAAATATTGCTAATATTAAATAATGATCTTTTATGCCAATTATTGTTATCTTAAAAATTTAAACTTGATATGTCAATATTTGAAAATGTTTTGTCAAGATTTAAAATTTTAAGGGTAGTAATTTTATTTTGGTTAATGAAACTGAAGATGTTAGGATTAGATGACTGAAATATACTTTATAAAATTTATAAATAAAAATAAAATTTTATATAGAGGATTCAAAAGCTTTTTTTTTTTTTTTACTAAAGAACTTGATTATTTTTGGGGGGGGGGAGTTGAGGTTCAATATCATAGAATTCAGTTTTTGACTTATAAGCTACTAGCTCCATGATTAGATTATTTGAATGAAGGCATCTTTTGAATAACTCACTGATTTTTTTTTCATTAGATGTGAATAAAAATCATATTTGTTTTGAGAAAATATTAAAGTCATTTGATATAATAATATCTACCTGATTCTATCTTTTATTTATCTTTTAGTATTTGCATTATCTCAATAAAATTGGGTACCTAGGTTACTATAGAATTTTCTTAAGAATTTCTTTATTATCTTTGTTATTTTTATATTTCAAAATTATGATTTATTATTATTTTAATATTTTAAGGCCCACTCAATAGCTCTCCTCGGCTTTGCTCCACTCGTTTTGGTTGGGCTTATTTGGGGTGAAAAGTAGCTTATTTTTGCTACAAGCCCAATTGCAAGATGGTCACCCGATTGGTTGGGCTTAACTTCAAAAGGAGCTTATCTGTGTTAAGCTGTTAGACCAGCGTTGGGGGGAGAAACTGCATTTTGTAGCTTATTTTGGAGCTTATTCTGCTTTTTCACTGTTGCACATGTATCAGAGCTTTTTTTTTCCCTCTGACTTCGGTCATATTAACACATTTCACTTCCCCAGTTTTTTTTCATCTCAGACTCTCAGACCTCTCCTTTGTCCTCCATCATTTTTTTTCACTTTTATATTTTTTCATGTTTCACTTTATATTTAGATTACTTCTCGAGTCCTAAATATAAGACCCCTTTTATAGTGTAATTTACACTA